ATGCAAACTCATAGATGAAACATAAGTTTTTTTTTAAAAACATGAATTTCTTAAAAACCAAACATATATCATTTTGATATATGTCAAAGTTAGCTGTAAAGGCTTGAAATTTTAAAAGGTTATTCAAGAATAGATAAAAGTTGAGATTTTTTAAATCAACTCATCTTAGACTTCTGGGATTTTGATATTTTAGATCTTGTAAAAAAGTTTGGCTTACCTTTGTTCAGCATTCACCACATCTAGCATTAGGAGTGGCCTTCAAGGTTGCTTTAAACTATCTTTTTTAGGGTTTTCGCCCTAGAGCCACATTTAATTTCTATTTTGTTCTTTCTTTTTCTTTTTTTTCTTTATTTTTTGGCTTTTTTATTATTACACCATGCACCTAAGAATTTGACCTTATCCGAAAGAGGAAAAGAATTTTTTTAAAAGGGGTTAATGATCCAAATAGAAAATTGGGTAATAAAGAGGGACCTAAAATATTCATGATCATTTTTTCAAGAAAAACCCTTTAAATTTAAGGCTCCTCCGATGCTTAAGTTCCTAATACTGAACTTTTCCAAAAGATGTATACGTAAGTTAAGGTTCAAGGGTTGTTAAAAAAAAAAAAAGGATAGAAAGGCTCAAAATAAGTATTTAAAAGTATTTAAAATCAAGAATCATTTTTCTATTTGAAGGATACATTCTGAGATATAGTCCTTTTATTTGCTTATACTTTCCATCCGTTCATTTCTTTTCTTATTCTGTTTTTTTCATTTTTTTTCACTTTTTTTTTGTATTCTTTCTCTGAGTAGATTCAAAACTTTTGTAAACTTTTATATTAGGTTTTTACCCTAATACATAAGATTCCATTTTGAAATCTCTATTCTTAACCCCTAATGCATTCATTTTTGTCTCTTAGTGTAAAAGGTAATGCCTTAGTTAAGGTTTATTTGAAAACAATTTAGACTCAAAGGGATAACAAGTGATAAATTTTTACATGTTGTAAAGGGATAATAAAGACGACTATTTGTCATTTCAAGCAAAAACACTTAAATTGCAGAGTAGTTCTCTTTTAGGAAAATGAACTTGAAGAAAAGTTTTCATTTCAAAAGTTTTTTGGAATTATTGGCCTTTTCTATTTTAGGTTTTTCCTTATTCTTTTTTTTTTCCAAAACTTTGAATTTGTCAAGATTTTATTTAGATTTATTCAAATTTTCAAAGTTCATGATGTCATAACTATTTTCTTTTCTTTCATTTCTCTTTTTTTCTTTTTTTTTGTTGTTTTTTTACATGCCCCCTCATAACTTAACCTAATTCATTTTAAAAGTAATGCATTTCATGAAAAAATGTTCCATTTTTAACAAACTACCTTAATGCAAGTTATTTAAGAAAAAGGTCATGTAAAATGAATGAAAAAGGGATCAATGTGGAATAAATTTGATTAAGGTATCAATTAATCTAAGTTATTTTCACAAAAAAAAGAATAAAAAGATTGATTATAACTCAAGTTGTCTTAAAGGCAATGAGGTTCTTTTTCTCTGACCACATACCTTCAAAATAATGAACCATGCAATTTTGGATAAGAGCTGAAATATTAGTATGGTTGAAGTCATTTTACAAGACTTGGGTAAATTTAATTTTAGAAATTTTTGAAACTACAGCATAACATTGTCACTTCAAATTCCCGCATTTGAATTCTTAAAAATGTTCATATTACTTGATTTTCTAAAAATCACATTTTCTTTACATTGGTTGTTCATTGTTCATTGCCTTGAAAAAGAATATCAACCATTTGGTATCAGAACATTATCAAGTGAAAACAAGGTTCATAAATTCAAAGTCAAGCTTTTGAAAGGTCATGATTGATGAAATGTAGTTAACTAGATGATTTAAGAAAATTGATGTTTAGGTATTTTGAGAAATTTCTAATAGTGATCGCCAACTCATTCTAGACCCAAAACTTTTTTTCTCTTTTTTTTATCTTTTCCCCATTGTTTTCCCCTTTCTCT